TAATGTCTGCACATTTTATGTCTTGTCTTTCCTGTTTTATTTTGACGTCACTAACCGGTTGGCTCCGTCCTAGATTTACTTCCTGCACTCGTCTCGTCACACCTGCTCCCCGATGGCTCTTCCTCACCTGTTTCCCATCTCCCCTCATTACCTTATGTATATTACCTTGAGTGTCTCACAGTCTTCGTACCAGCGTTATCATGGTCATAGTCATAGTCTGCCTTGTTACGACCTTGTTTTTCTGCTTTCGACCTTGTCTTTTGCCTGCCGTTTTTGGATACCTCTGCCTGTTTGGATTGACCACCTGTTACCAACCTCTGCCTATTAATAAACCTGTCTTTTGCCTGAACCATTTCTGTGTTGCGCCACTGTGTCCACCCGTTCTGCTCTCAGGGAGTTCATGACAAGAAATGTTTGTAAATTACAAAAAAATCTGTATTTAGAACAACTACATTTTCAAATTTCAAACAAAAATACAGTAAAATGTGTCTAAAATGGCCAGCTCGCTGTGTGTAGTTATGTGTAGATCTATATGTGAAACAAACAAATTAACAACAGCATTATTTCTGTGTGTAACAGGTAAAGTAAGTAACAGGTTTCGACTGTGATCAATCTAGCAAATTTGAAATTTATTATTACGTATAATTCAAGGTTTTGAAATGTGAAATGTTTAATTTTCATTCATTTTTGCCTGACAAGATGAGCATGTCAGGGGAAAAAATCATGAAAATCGTGACACTTTGGCAAACTTTTACCTGTTATACCAATGCAATGACCAGCAAGTAGGCTAACCACAGTTTACATAAAAGAAAGACGGCAACAAGTGTAATTAATACGTGCATACAATCGTCCTCAAATGTACTCATACCCTCCCATGAAAGAAGGAATCAAACAGCTGACAAAAGTAATAATAAATAAAAATGTAATGAAAATCATGACATTGCTTTTGAGTTGTGGTTCAGCAGAAATATTTTAAACAAAAAAAAGCAAACAAGCATGATGGGACCCGTAAACTAACATTTTGTTGAACAACTCTTTGAGCCAATCACTGCAGTCCAGTGTTTTCTTTAACTCTCAATCAGACCTCTGCACCTGCTGACAGGTATTTGGATTTCACTGCTCATCAGCAAAGTGCTCTGATTTTATTTTATTTTATTTTTTAAATTATTCTTTTCAACCACGATTCAAAAGCAACGTCTTATTTCACTAAATTGTAATTGAGAACATTTTTTTATTACTATGTTTGTTCAGTTTCTAGTTATTGAGTGACTATTATGACTTCTGCCTTTTCTTTAATGGAAGGGTACAGTATGAATACATTTGAGGACGACTGTATATGTACCCACCAAACCTTGCTCTCTTGTGATCCAACTTTTTTGATGATATGATTTTATTCAGCTACCATCACTCATCACACTTTCAAATCTTATATCAACATGTAGCTGATTCCTTTGTCTATTAACACAAAGTAACACATTTCCAATATTTATATTAAACACAGTTTTAAGATCCCTCTTGTGTATAGAACACATTTTCACTTTAAACCAAAATTGAAAAAAGTGGCTTTCAGATGTTTTAACAAAGTCTCCTGTTTCTTCTACTTATCAAACACAGTTCTAACTACTAACCTTAATAATTGCTGTGCTGAGGCTGTAGCTGAGAAGCTGCTGTGTCCCAAATCAACGGTGTACACTGTTACCACTAGTACACACTTTACACCAGTCCTCAGTGTACTTATTTAGTTGTCAGAAATATGTTTAAAAGTATGTTTTTTCTTCCTGCTAGCAGAGAATAAAAGACTTAATGATTGTTGTTAGTGACATTAATGAACTTTTTCTCAATGGAAATTTAAAATACATACTTCAACTCTGCTCAGAATTAGTCTGGAGGGAGGATGTTGGACACAGTTAAAGTCAACAAAGTGGTTCAGTGCTAACATTTCTTTTCGTGAGCCGTTCCTAAACACTGAGCTGTAACAGAGACACTGCTAATGACAGGGCTTTACCTGTTGGAACAAGTCAGAATGTCTGCTGTGAGAGAGCTCTGTAATAATGTCACTGAGACTGGGCATGCTCCAAATCAAACCAAAACATCCATCCATCCATTATCTACACACCGCTTAATCCTCACTAGAGTCGTGGGGGGCTGGAGTCTATCCCAGCTGACTTAGGGCGAAGGCAGGAGACACCGTGGACAGGACACCAGTCTATCACAGGGCTACACTTAGAGACAGACAACCAAGCACACTCACATTCACACCTACGGACAATTTTAGAATCATCAATTAACCTCAACATGTTTTTGGACTTGTGGGAGGAAGCCGGAGAACCCGGAGAGAACATGCAAACTCAATACAGAAAGATCCCAGGTGTTCTCACCGGGACGCGAACCGGCGACCCTCTTGCTGCGAGGCAATGGTGCTAACCACTTCCCCACCTTGCAGCCCACTGATAAGCAACACACAGTCTAAATGTCAAATATTATCAAAGTAAACAATTGTACAGGTCCAAATGACTAGATAATTTAATCTTTACGACAGGCCATAAAATGGTCAAAGATCTCCGACCTGTAAATGGAGATCATAAACCTGTCTTATCAGTCCAGTAGCTGCTGCCAGGTGTTTATTTACTGTGTGTCATATCGTGTGCACAGGCCTGACAGGCAGCTCCAACATGTAACTGATTGAAATGGTGTCAGGATCTAATGAAAACTTTAGTTATTTAGTGGAATTGGCCTTCAAAATAAGGAATGTTGGATGTTTTTTGTTATATTCATGCCATATGAATGCCACATGGGACAGGTTCATGGATACCAATCAAGCAGCATACATCTGTATGAACGAACAAATGAAAATGTTATTTTTGTGTCACACATAGTAAACCAACATGTGTATAAACCAGAACCAGAGTGATGTACATACAGTACAATCATGAGGAAGTGACTGCCCCTTTAAACATGCTCGGGCAAGTAAACCCTTAATCCTGTTTGTATACTGAGTCGTATACTCAAACAAATGACACATAAAATTAACAGTTTGGGGTCATTTTCAGCCAAACCCAACATTTATCACACCTTTAAATCCAACAACCAGGAAATCCAGCTCCAGATTAGGTGCCTTCAGAAAAAAAGTTTTACACGCCTATGAGTCTGGTAAGGGGTTTAAAACAGTCTCCAAATGATTTGAAATAAATTCTTTCACTGTATGTGGTGTAGATTACGACAACTGTCAATTTGTCCAAGACTGACCGCCCCGCAATTTCATCTCAAGAGCGGAGCATCTAATACAAGAAGAAACCTCCCAGAACCCTGGGCTTTTATCACAGGATCTGCAGGTAAATCTGCGACTGTAAGTGTCAAAATGTTAATGCCAGTCTTTGCTGTCCAAAAAGAAATTAGAGCAAAACTACAGTTTGCTCATAAGCACAAAGGCAAAGAGCAGGACTATTGGAATAATGAGCTCTGGATGGATAAATCACAGAGCGCTATCTGGTCACAGAAACAGTAGACATGTTTCGTGCAGAACAAAAAAGACTTTAGGAGAAGAACCTCACACAAACTGTGAAGCGTGCTGTTGGTAGTGTTGGGGCTTGCTCTGCTGCCTCAGTGCCTTGCAGTGATTAAATCAACTATGAATTCTGCACCGTGTCAAAGAGCGCTTGTAGATGCTGTGAGGCCATCTATTCAAAAATTAAATTGGAAGTGGGCCTTTTAATAGATTAATGACCCTCAGCACACTAAGAATGCACCAAGGAATGTCTCAGAGTAAAGGCTTATTGAATGGCCAAGTCAGCAAAACACTATCCAGATCTGAATTCCATTAAAATGTTGCAGGACTGCAAGGTGGAGCAGTGGCTAGCATCGTTGCCTCGCAGCAAGAAGATCGCAGGTTCGCATCCTGGTGAGGACATTCTGCGTGGAGTTTGCATGTTCTCCCCGTGCAGCCTCCTCCCACAAGGTCCAGAAACATGCTGAGGTTAATTGGTGATTCTAAATTGTCCGTAGGTGTGAATGTGAGTGTGTTTGGTTGTCTGTCTCTAAGTGTAGCCCTGTGATAGACTGGTGACCTGTCCAGGGTGTCTCCTGCCTTCATCCTGAGTCGGCTGGGATAGACTCCAGCCCCCCACGACCCTAGTGAGGATTAAGCGGTGTATAGATAATGGATGGATGGAGGGATGGATGAAATGTTGCAGCAAAACCCTCAAACATCTTGGAAGACCGGTAAGAAATCACCTCTGATGGACAGTTATGTAAAACACAAGATGTTATTTCTGCTGAAAGGGGCAATACTAGCTTCTGTACTTTTTTACATAAAGGAATTACAGACTGTTGATATGTTTGTTTTTTGGCATAACTGTACATTTTCAAACAATAATCACTGATACAAAGTTGGCAAACACAGACACACAACTACTATTTCAATTGCTGATCATCTGATGTCAAGAGTATTTTAGGGTTTTCTATGTCCTACTGAAAGCTGGATAGCTATTGTATGTATAGAGAAGGTGTTTTTAGATTGCTTGACGCCCCATTTTCTTGCGATACAGTTCACTACAGGGGAGACACATGGAAGGTTTGGTTTATTTATTAACCAAGATAAAATATTTTACATTACATTTAAACTCAGGCTGGGAGAAGCCATTTGTGGCTAATGAAGGAGGTGGTGTCACTGATTAGGCCACATGATTTAACTGATATCTCTAACAAATACCAAAAAAATCAAACAAGTAAAACATCAGCAGAGGGCTCCAAGTCCCCTTTCCAGGTAAATAAGAGCCATTTTGGTGTCCTTTGTCTGCAGTGAGGAGTACAAACGGAGGCCCTCGGGCCCGGTTCACTTATTGTGCATGAGCTGACACATAAGCAGGGGAATATGGGTGTTCCCCTTCCCAGAGGTTTAAGATGTCAGGGCAGTGAGTGCTATTATGGCATGGTGGGCCTTTGTCTGGAACAGGGTGGAGGAAAGAAGCTAGAGGTGGAAAAGAAAGCTCAAGAAGGATGCTTGAGGACAGAGGTTCGACTCTGAGGAGAAAGACGAAGGGAAGGAGAGCGCTCCAGAGGAAGTGAGTCCATGTTTTCTACCGCACAACAGACGGGACCAGGAGACGGGACGATATGAGGTGAGTTAAAGTCTCTGCTCCTGTGCTTCGTTTCAGTCCTTCATCCATTTCAATGAACCTGACTCCTTTTTTCAAGTCTTTATAGATCTTTTTTTCTCTTTCATGGTCAGTTTTATTTGATAAAAGCAGGAAATCCTTTTTTCGACTCAATGTAGGACAGTTAACCAGCTGCTATATGCACCAGTTCATGACACACTTTTGTCAGCGTGACCCATGTTAAGGTTGATGTGTGACATGTTTACTATTATTTGTGAAAAAGGGGGGAAAAGCCACTGTTTATTTGTAGATTTTTTTCTAATTGTTATGTACAAATTCATTTTATTTGCTCTGTTTACGATTGATTGATCTTTTACTGAACGATTAAATGACTTGTTTTGTGTTTATATATTAATATTATATTAAAAATGTATTAATAATTAATATATTGATAATATTTTTGTATATGATTCTATTATTATAATGAATTTGTATTGTATAGTCATTATTACTGATATGGAATTGACTCATATCCTTTGCAGTGAGGGCTTGACCAAAATGACTGCAGGTTATTTAAGTATACATAAAAATGGTAATTACATTTTAGAATGAGAAAAACAGTTTGGATGAGAAATCACAAAGTCACAGCAGCCAAGTCAAGCAAAGACAACTCAGGTAGTAAATAAAATACAATTACAAAAAGCCAAATAATATGAAGGAAAAAAATAGACTAAATAATACGAGAAATAATAAAATAGAGCTTAAGAGTAACAAAGCAATCCAACATGTATTAGTGCTACAATTCATTACGTAACAGATTTGGGGTTGAGGGTTTGGTGGGAAACTGCTAACCTGGCTCCATCTAAAGGAAAAAATGAAATGTTATATGTCATTTGTGTGATGTATACACAAATCATAGTGTAAAAACTAAACTTTTGGTTCTACAGAAGGCCTCGTGTGTATCTTGGCGATACCTCTATAACTCCTCTACAACCTTCATTTGTCACATTTTCTTTTTTTGCGCAACAAAACAAACATGATGTGACATGTCCACAAGTAAGGCTTGTTTTTTTATGTTTTTATTTTTTATGTACAACAATCAGCCACAGCATTAAAACCACTGCAGGGGGACTAAATAATACGACTTGGTTGTGGGGTTGGATATATGAGACAGCAAGTAAACTGTCAGTTCTGTTATGAACTGGAAGACGGAAAAATAGGTTACTATAAGAACCTGGGTGACTTTGAACACTTGTAATGGCTGGACGACTGAGTCAAAGTATCTCCAAAACAGCAGGTCTTATGGAGTGTACTTATGGAAGGTACCAACCACTGTATGCAGTGGTTGGTACCTTAAAAAGTGTTCCAAGGAAGGTCAACCAGTGAACCAGCTAGCAGGGGTGTCGAACTCTGGTCCTCGAGGGCCGCAATCCTGCATGTTTTAGATGTTTCCCTCTTCCAACACACCTGATTCAAATGATCATCAAGCTCTGCAGAAGCCTGATAATGATCCTGATCATTTGAATCAGCTGTGTTGGAAGAGGGAAACATCTGAAACATGCAGGATTGTGGCCCTCGAGGACCAGGATTGGACACCCCTGAACCTGTAGCTGCTACAGGTTCCTGGAAGCCCAAGGTTCATGAACGCATGTGTAGAGTGAAGGCTGTCCAGTGTGGTCTGATCCCAGAAAAGAGCTGCAGAACAAACGGCTGAAAACTATAATCCTGCTTTGACAGAAAGGTGTCAGAACACACAAAGCACCGAAGCTTCCTCTGTGTTGGGTTGTGTAGCTGCAGAACTTGAAGGCTGTTGTTGGCGCCTAAAACCACAGGACGCCTTCAGAGCCCTGATGGAGTCCAGGTATGACTGGGTCTGAGCTGTTTGTGGTGGCCAACACAGCATGAGGCAGGTGATTTTAATGTTGTGGCTGCTCTGTGTGTATAGTCTTTGTGCTATGCTAAGCTAAGCTATCATTAGCTGTAGCTTCAGGACAAACACAAGGGTGGTGTTGATATTCTCATCTGTCATTCTTTGAAAGAGATTGAACTGTGCATGTAATAGTGTGACACTCAGGTAAAGAATAAATAATGAATGATTTCTGTTTAGAGAAAATGAAACCAAAAATGATAGAGCTGTAAAAATGATGCTTTAAAAAAAGGCTGACGTTTCAAACGTCTTACTTTAATGTCACAACCATTTCCTCGTGTTTCAAATGTTTTCTTCAGGCAGTAAGTTTGAATAGCGATGGACTTGATGGAAACTGTCATACCCGTCTGTGTCCTGTAGCTGCAGTCCCTCAGGGAGGACTCATATGATTTACAGTAGGATTTATGTGACAGAGTGCCTCACTGTCCATCCAGAGCCTTCTCCTGAGACACACAATGGACCTCCATGACCAGGAGGGAGTATTAGCATTTAGACGGTAACCTAAGCAGAACGGATGGTTGATATTATTCTCAGAATTCGGCTTAACCACTACCTCCAGTCATTAATCATTCAAAAATACTTTGAAAATGTCGTCACCCACATGTCGAAATGTTACAGTGCTGTTATACAGACACACAGTTCACAGCAGAAATTAATTTTCCGTGAAGAAACTTCGGGAGAACAAGAAGGGGATCTAAAGGCATCTTTAATGTGTCCATACAGCTTGTCCACCATATCACATTTATTCAGGTCTTACAGCCTCACTGCCTTCATGAGCTCAACAAAACATTTTCTTTAACTTTTTTGAATTTCTAAGCGAATACAATGAACACATAAACACCAAAATGGACCCGGCAGCAGAATTATATCCTCTGATGGTTTACAGACAGAGTTCTGAAGGGCTACTTGCTGGGATTTTGGTATTTATTTTCAGGTCAGATTTGACATCACCGTTTCTATTACTTCATCAGATTATTTAGGCGCTGCTGTTTCACTGTTTATTGTCAGTGATTACTGGTGATAGAACACGCAGCTAAATGAAATACTGAGAAATCATTATGTTTCTGTGCTTAATATTTATATTACAATTGGACATTTTGATTGACACACTTTTTTATTTTTGAATGAATGCATTAAACACTAACAGGAAATCCTGGGGTCCTTACCTTGGAATGAAGATATAGTACATTTTGAAGAACTAGACAAAGAAAATAATATTTTATTACAAGCTGCTTTCTTTAAATATCACATTTTTAGTGGATGGCAAAATGTTGAGCAATCGTATTACTTTGTGGAAATGACATTAAACTAGAATTAAGAAAATTTCGTGTAAATTTGGAAACTTTATCTGCCACTTGTGCCACTGGATAAGCAGGAAGAGGATTACAGTCAATGACCCTTTTTTGGTGGTGAGTCATAATAGGACAATAGGTTTGTCTGTGTTACGCCAACATCAACAATAGACACTTGACCGTTGTTCAGTGGGATGAAAGTAGGCTGCGGAAACACAAAATACTGTTAGAAATGTAAGACGCACTCTGCAGTTAGGTCGGTTTAGTGGTTTTAAGAGCAGAGCTGGATGACACTTCAGTCTTCCTGCTACATAACTCCCAGCGCTAAGACGGCTGCATGTTTGTCATTATTTTATGGTCCATTTTGATGAAGTGGATAAAACTCATGTTTCCTTACCTGTGCATGAACTGAACCTGTCTTCTCTCTTGCAAAAAAAAAATGAAACAGGTACCTTGTACACTGATTGCAAACAATAATAATAATTTAAAAAATGTATGGATAGATGAATGACTCTACTGATGGCCAATTCTTATAATGTCCTTCTCTTTGCCCTCACAGGCTCCCACTCTTGTGGCTGTTAAGTCTGTTTGCAGTGTTGCAATACTGCTCTGCAGGTATCTCTCTTTTGAAGAAATTACCTTACCTAACACTCAGATGACAGACCCCAAATCACATATGTTACCCATACAAATACAAACTAATTTAATTTGACAGATGATCAGGTGAATCTATTCTCAAGGTCTTTCCTCTCTTCTTTTCAGTTGAGCTGAAGGAATGCGAGGCAGTCGGCATCAAATGCCACTCTCAGGCCGAGTGCATAAAGTTCCGAAACAGCTTCACCTGTGTGTGTACGATGGGCTACGAGGGCGATGGTGTGATTTGCAGCGACATTGATGAATGCATCAGTGGCCTCCATAATTGTCACCGAAGAGCCCGCTGCATCAACACCCTTGGAAGCTTTAATTGTGTCTGCCTCAATGGATATGTTGGAAATGGCATCGACTGCCAGGACATCGACGAGTGTCAAAATGAAAACGGGGGTTGCCATGCCAACGCCCGCTGTGCAAACTTGGAGGGAGGACGAGAGTGCTCGTGCAAAAACGGCTTCAGGGGCAACGGCTTCCAGTGTGAAGATGTTAACGAATGCTTAAACCAAGGGACCTGCCACTGGAACGCCACTTGCACCAACAACCCCGGGTCTTACGTGTGCACCTGCAACGCTGGGTATAAGGGCAATGGAAACTACCTTTGCCTCGACATTGATGAATGTTCAGAGACTCCTCGAGTGTGTTCTTCCTCACTCGGCTACAGAGGCTGTAAAAATCTGCCTGGCACCTACCGCTGCACATGCAGCGACGGCTTTGAAAGTAACAGACAGAGCTGTGTGGACATTGATGAATGTGCAGGCAACATCTGCAGTCAATATGCAGACTGTGTGAACACCCTGGGGTCATACCTGTGCACCTGCAACAGTGGGTTTGTAGGAAACGGGCTGGCTTGTGTAGATATAAATGAATGCAATGAAGACAATGAATGCCATCCCACTGCTGCTTGTATAAACAGGCTTGGCAGTTATGAATGCTCTTGTCGGGAGGGTTTTGTTGGAGATGGGCGACTGTGTGAAGACATTAATGAGTGCAAAACACCTGACATCTGTCCTGTTACCACTACCTGTGTCAACACCGGTGGGTCATATTACTGCGACTGTGGCACCGGCTTCGTCTTCAATAACTCAGCGTGCCAAGACCTGGATGAGTGTGTGGCAGGACGCTGCAGTCCATATGCATCTTGCACAAATTCTCCTGGTTCCTTCAGTTGTCAGTGCATGGCAGGGTACAGGGGAGACGGTTTCACCTGTGTGGATGTGGATGAATGCTTGCTGACTAAGCAGTGCCACTCCAGTGCCCTTTGCACTAACCTTCCTGGCTCCTACAACTGCACTTGCCAGGTGGGTTATTCTGGAGATGGGGAGGTCCTGTGCAGTGATGTTAACGAGTGTTTGACAGATAATGGAGGCTGCAGAAACAAAGCTGAATGCGTCAACAATCAGGGTTCCTTCTATTGCCTGTGTCTGCCAGGCTTCATCTTGATTAACCAGACGATTTGCCAAGATATAAATGAATGCACAGAACTGGATGATCCATGTGGAGTGAATGAAGAGTGCAAAAACAGTGATGGGTCATATGAATGCCCCTGTCTGGTTGGGTACTACCGCCCTGCCAGCAACATGGACTGCGCTGATATGGACGAGTGTAAAGACAACCCATGCCACGTTAACGCCACATGTCTCAACACCATTGGCTCACACACTTGCACCTGTAAGAGAGGCTTTGCAGCAAACGGCACCCAGTGCGATGATATAGACGAGTGTTCTGCAGAGGTTACGTGTCACTCACGGGCCACATGCACCAACTTTATCGGGGACTTCTCCTGCTCTTGTCAGGAGGGTTTCGAAGGCGATGGCTTCTCCTGTCTGGATGTGAACGAGTGCTCCCTCTCAAACAGCACCTGTCCTACCTTTTCAACGTGCATCAACTCTCCTGGTGCTCATGTCTGCTCATGTTTGAATGGCACGGTGGCCTTCAATGACACCTGCGTGCTACCCAGTCCGCTGTGTGACCCTGAATGCCACAGTCACGGCCTGTGCCATCTTTCACCGGTTGGGTATCAGTGTGCTTGTGACCTTGGCTACGACGGCGATGGACTGACTTGCTCTGACATAGATGAATGCCAGAGGGAAAATGTTTGTCCTGAAAATGAAACGGAGTGCGTGAATATCCCAGGATCATTTTCCTGTGTCTGCAAGCAAGGCTACGCTCTCAATGGAACACAGTGTGTTGGTAAAGCCATTTGTTTTATTTTATTTACTTAATTGGAAAGTGTAAAGTGCATTTGATAGTATATACCAAGCAGAAAACAGGGGATAATTATAAGCAGAGCCCAAATAAGTGTAAAGACTGTGTTCTGCTATAGGATCAAAAGGGCAGACAAAAAGTTTCCCAATAAAAGGGAAATATTCTGAGTCATATGGCAGTCATGACAATCAATAAATTCAAAGCTGTAAAAGCCCATTGTGTATTTTTGTTCTATTAAAATGGCTCTCATTCTACATTACAAGGTGGCTTTCCACCGCAAGAACTCGGGCAGGAAGGAGGTGGCATGAATTTTCCATTGTTGATGGTGATGTTAGATGTTAGAAAGGAGAAGACTTCCCTGCAATTAGGACATCAGCACTTGTTGTCCTCTTTGATTAAAACTAATCAGTGTTGTCTTCTAACAGTCTAACCATCAGCGTCAAGCCCCACACTGTAGTTTTTCAGGGCTGCTTATATGTACAGGAGTAGGTAGTTTTTTTCTCCCCCAGATAAGGCCCTGAAAGAGGTTCCACTGGGGATGGTTCCTGAAGTCAGAATATGTACAAAAGTTCTGGCCACCTTAAAACAGACCTCAAGTTCCTGCAGTGGAAGACATCATCTGCATCTGTTGTTATAACACTTGTGAAAAAACGTATCGTGTCAGACTTAATCCATCAAAACAGATTTAAACACTTGCTGTCAGTTTCACATCAAGAGCTCATTTATTCAAATGTAAAGTGAAAGGAAAATTATACAGTAAAATAAGTACAACATGCATAATACAATCATGCAGAAGAACCTACTCTTTCATTTAAGTGACACACCACCCACTTCTCCAGGCTCTTAAGTCAGAAGAGTTTCCACACATTTCACTTTGATATGACAGTGCCAGATCAAAACAGCCCGTATTTTTTTTTGTTTCCTTTTTGTCTGAAAACACCAAACTAATAGATTTATTCTAATTCACTCCTAAATCACATTTCATCTATAAAACTTGGCTCCATCAAAACACAAATATCATTAACTTAGATACTGAAATGTCCTGAGATCGTCTTCCTGTCTGCCTCCCTCCTCATTTGTCCGTTACTTTTCCAGATGTGAACGAGTGTGAAACAGGGCAGCACGAGTGCAGTGAGTCCGCCCGGTGTGTCAATACAAGGGGCAACTATTCCTGCTTCTGTCTCAGCGGTTTCACAGGTGACGGAAAAAACTGCTCCGGTAAGTAACAACTGCTCATTATAAATTGATGGTTCTCTTGGCCCAATAAGTAGGCTCGCCTGTGAGCTTTCTTTTGGGCTGTTTCCTTGACACTGTCCCATTTTGGATAAATTTTAGACTTTGATGAGTGCCAAGTCCAAAATGGAGGATGCCACCCAGTTGCCAGCTGCACTAACACACGTGGATCTTTCTCCTGTGTCTGTCCGCTCGGTATGGAGGGCGATGGCTTTGACTGCCACGATGTGAACGAATGCGAGAAGAACTCCACTCTGCCACACAACTGCAGCGCCCAGGCCTTGTGCTTCAATACCAACGGGTCCTACTTCTGCCAGTGCCAGGATGGATACCAGGGTGATGGCTTTGTTTGTGATGATGTGGATGAATGTCAGGTGGCCACAACCTGCAGCAGCAACATGACTTGTGACAACATTCCTGGTTCCTACACCTGTTCATGTATGTTAGGAGTGGTGTACGATGAGGGCACGTGTGTGAGTGAAGACACCTGCCTGAATGCTAGTAAGAACTGCCACCCACAAGCCAAGTGTAATTTATACCAAGGTTCCTTCTACTGCCAGTGTGCAGACGGATATGAAGGGAATGGCACCGACTGCTGGGATGTGGACGAATGCGACGAATCACAAGGTCTGGTCTGCCCGGCCTCCTCCTACTGCTTCAACACAAATGGCTCGTACACCTGCAGCTGTTGGGAAGGTTTTCAAGACAATGGCACACAGTGTCAGAACATAGATGAATGTGTGACGGGAAACTTCACCTGCCCTGACAACAGCACCTGTACTGACCTGGAAGGGAGCTACACATGTACCTGTGACCCAGGCTTCTCAGGCAATAGCTCCTTGTGTTTAGACATAAATGAGTGCTCAGTCGGCCTCATCCAGTGCCCTGATTTCTCCATCTGCATAAACACAGTTGGATCTTCTTTCTGTGAGTGCTGGGAAGGTTACCAAGGCAACAGCACTGCCTGTGAGGATATCAATGAATGCCTACACAATTCCACCTGCCCTGAGCACAGCACGTGCATCAACAGTAATGGAAGCTACCTGTGTCGTTGTGACCCCGGATTTTCCAGCTTCAGTGACGTGTGTGTGGACATCGATGAATGCAGTGACAAGGAGCTGGGGGAGCTTTGCTCCAATGGAACATGTATGAATGCTGTTGGCTCATATTACTGTGAATGCAATACAGGATTTAGGAGTAATGGGACAGAGTGTGTCGATGTAGATGAGTGCTCAGACTCCCTCAACTCTTCATTGTGCCAGCATCATTCCAAATGTGTCAACATCCCAGGGTCTTATCTCTGTCCCTGTCATGAAGGTTTCATTCTGAATGGCACAGAGTGTCAGGATGTGGATGAGTGTCATGACCCAGATGGCGCCCCGTGCCCTGAGAACTCATTATGTAATAACACAGTAGGTTCTTTCTTCTGTGTGTGCTCTCCTGGGTACAAACCCATCAGCGTGGGCTGTGAAGATATCGACGAATGCAACGGCACCACCCCCTGTCGCTTTGATCAGGTGTGCACGAACCTACCTGGAGCGTACAACTGTTCTTGCCCCACAGGGTATCACGAGGAGAAGCAGGCGTGTGTCGACACCAATGAATGCTCTAACTCACCTTGTCACCCGTTGGCACGTTGCTGGAACACACCTGGCTCCTTCTCATGTCACTGCCCCGCAGGCTTCGCTGGAAATGGTTCCTGGTGCAAAGATGTGGATGAGTGTGTCGCCCTGACCACACCGTGCCACCATCTCGCTCAGTGTCACAACACCCCAGGGTCATTTGTGTGTGTCTGTATGGACGGCTTCATGAGTGTTGGGACACTGTGCGTAGACACTGATGAATGCCAGCAGGCTGATGCGCAGTGCCACTCTGCTGCCACCTGCATCAACCACGTAGGAGGTTTCAAATGCTCTTGCAATCATGGCTGGATTGCTACCAATGAGCACGAGCACGGGAAAGGAGGTTGTGTGGACGGGGATGAGTGTGTGTCACTCATGCCATGCTCTGGCCAGCTGTCCTGTATCAACCTACCAGGATCTTATGCCTGTTCCTGTCCAAGAAGCAGCACAGTGTGCACAAAGATGATTCAGAATGGTTGGCTATGGTTTTGTTAATCAGCGAACTTGATAATCAGACACTGATGTCTGCCATATTGTATATATTTTTTGAATTGCCAAAATGTCTGTGCAGGTAGTAAACTATGCATTTTTGCTTATTTTGAATTTGGAGCTGAGCTAATAATTAAACAACAAACAGGAGAAACAAGGTTTTCACTATGATGCTTTCAACAAATACAACATCCCCTCTGGAACATAGGGATGTCACTAGAAACACAAAACCAAATTTCAGTAAATGTTTAAATAACTTGAAGGCCATTCATGTAACTTAATCAAACGACATAAAGAAAGAACACAGTGAACAAACAGTTTGACCTTTATCCACAGTTGTTCTGTTTGTGTTGTCGCCTCCCTTCTGAGTTGATTTGATGCCATATTTTGAATAAATAAAAAGCGATAGCCTAAACAATCAGCTCACATGCTGACAGCAAATGAATTGACTAGTGTGCTTGATGACAATATGATATAATGTTTTTAATTTGCGACTGATTAACTTTTTTGTGCTCCCCCCACAGAGGGCACTCTGTACCCCTATGGTGCAGACGCCAGCGACAAAAAAGTAAAGATAGACACAGAAGATGGAAATTCTCCGTACATCATCCCACCGATAGGTTTCCCCTTCCTGGGGAAACTGTACGACAGGATTTACGTGAGTTTCTAAGTAAACTTATCTATAGCTCTATAAAGAGAGTGCACATAGCCATCAAAGTACAGCTGCAATTGTAATGTAATGAAATGTTCTTTCACAGTAGGCAGAAAATATTGAGAAACGATTAAGATGAAGGTGATTGATTATGAGATATGATATGATATGATGTGATATGATGTTATTATATTATTATGCTATTATTATTATTATTAAGAAACCTGAATTCACACTGTAAACTAATTCCTTGTCCTGTTGCGCCACATGTTCCATTAAATGTGCTGACAACATAACACATACAGCACAATTCATGTCAGATGAACCTTCATTAGAGTCATATTTATTGAGACAATAATCCACATGTACCCATTGTTTAAATCTGGCAGCACAGCATTAAACAGTATATAATTACTGTGGCGTTTGCTGAAGGGCTTACAGCAGTACCAGTGTATGCAAGTAATGCATACAACTCTCATCATTGGAATTATTCTAAAATAAGCTACAAGATGAAATGTAAAATAAATAAGGAGGCCATGTTATTTTAAACTCATCAATACTGAAAATGAGTACAGCTTTGAAAGTATTTATTAAACCACTGTTTTCTGGCTCTGTCGTTGTGGTTCTTGGAGTCATGCTGTATTTCCTGTTTTGCTGATTCCAAGCCAATTATCAGCATCTCTCTTACTTGATTCTTCTTTGTTAAACACCAAGATGGCTGTTTTCATGTCACCTTGCGATTCCCTTCTTTTAGTTGAGTAGATATAGTTTACATATACAGCCTCGGCAAAAAATAATCAGGACTTAAACATGTTTTTAGTCATCTCGGGTGAGTTTTGACATTTCCATTGCATCATGTTTTCATTTACATATAATTTTATACTTTTTCGTGTTGTTTGGAAGACACCATAATTATTTTAACCACTGTGATAAAAATCAAACAGAATATCAACGTTAAAGGTCTGCTGTGTAGACCTCATAAAGAAAACCACACCTAATAATTTCTTTCAAAGCTGTAAAGTATTTAATGACAGAAGATGACATGAAGTGTTTCTGATATCTTTCTGACATTGTCTCTCCCTTTCGTTTTCTTAGTTTTCGGATAACGGCCTCGTCCAGTTTCAGACTGTCAGTGAGAATGAGCAGCATCTGTTCCCGTCTCCTTCCGCCAGCGGTTTCCCAGACGACACAAATTTGGCTCTGTTGGCGGTTTTCTGGGATGATGCTGACCTCACTAAAGGCAACGGGCAGCTGCACTACCAGGTTAGATGTTATCACGGGTTCTCGTCTGGCTGATGTCTTTTAGAGTTTTTTATTTTGTTTAGTTGAATAAATGAATCAAAGACAAAGTCGCAGACTTCATGGCCTCGTCTAGCCTTTGTATGATTTACAAAACAAGCTGTCATGCTTTGTATCTTGAGCTTCATATAACTTCTCCTTTTCTTGTTTTAATCTTTCAGGAATACCATAAACTGGATGTGTCAGATGTCTATTCTGAGATAGTGTTTAATCGTACTGCAGATGAAGTGACAAAGTTTAAGTCTCTGACAAGCAAGTCTGCTTTTACCCCCGTCTGGATCCTCAAGATCACCTGGGACAGCGTGATGCCCGTCTCCTTCCAGGCGGTCAACGACTCAGAGGTTTTTCTTGTTTTAAAAATCAAAGTTGCAACCAAAATTACTTACATATTTGCATTACATGGGTATTTAGATGCCCAAACATTGCGTAATTGTCAATAATGGTTTCATAGAGAGCCATATTTTGATACAATGCTTAAAAAAGTTGTTCTAACACAGCTTTAGATTTCTGTGTTATTTTCTTGAAATGCCGACTCTTACAAGTTTTGCTTTATTATCAAGACTTAAACCACCAAACTCCTTCAAACAAAATTATTTGTGTTGATCCTAGTGCTCACTACTCATAGTGAATCTCAAACAACAAAATAACTTTCTCAATATGCATGTCTTGCATCTCCTAACTCAGGTGTCTATGGGACAAAACACACCATAAGAATATTCAGAGATCATTATCATTGTCACATGAAACTTCTCTGACTGAGACTTTATTGCTGAAATCTCCTGTGTACTGGTTTTAGTGAAAGATGTGATGTATTAGGGAGTGTTACTGTTTGCTTGCATGCTTGCCCTACTTTGAATGTTATTGTCATGTGCAATGCGAGCTGTTGAAAGTTGTCAGCAGTCAGAACTCCTGGAGCACTCGTGCTGTTTTGTTTAGCTTTGGTGCCACCTTGGGGCTGCTTCACCCTCAAGGGCTTGAATGCAGAGTGTGGTGGTATGTGCTGCCACCTGTCTCTTCCTGGGCCATTTTCGCACTGTTGTTTGTCCCGTTGTTCTTGTGAAACACTAATAATCCTAAAAGCAGAGTATTTTATAAAAATGATTAAAGTTAATAGACTCAGATTTCATTCATTATGTCTGAAAACAAACTTTAATATTTGATATGACACATTAATAAGCAGAGTTTTTGTGGGCTTTCAGTGAACTTATTAACTACAAACGAGTTGTGATTTGTTATTTCCAGACCAACACTTTCCAGTGCATCCTGGCCACAGATGGAGCACACTCTTTTGCCCTCCTGCGATACGGAGAGATGAACTGGGGTCCCGGTTTGAGGGAATACCATGACGCTCTTATCGGCTACACAGATGGAAAACTGACTGTCAAAGAGACCACCGACTCTCCAGAAAACCTTTTCGGGCCGAAGGGCAGGTACAGGCCTCATCAGGTGAATGGAACCTTGGGGAAGCTAGGCCAGCTGGTGTATGATTTGACAGGACCACCAGGGTCAGACGTGGATCCCGGATTCAAGTGCCAGGCCTGGGCGATGAAGGAGCCCGACCCCGCTGAGTGGACACAGGTGCTGCCTTCCTGCCCCTGCACCCGCACCCAGGCTCTGGAGGACCTGGCGTTCTTGCAGGACACCGCTGATCCAGGTCCAACGGCGAAGAGGATGAGGGGTCAGCGGTGGGGGGGCGCAAGAGGGCACATTTTCCGGTCACTCCAGTCCAACAGAGATGGCGCGGGGAAGAGGTGTGTCTATGAACCAGATGGTCCCCTTCTGGCCGGGTACAACGAACGCTACTTCTCCGGATCCAGCATACAGAAACATATCGGTAATACAGAGCAAACAATCATAAACAACAGACCTCGGTTGGACTAGTACCATCACGATCTAAGATTTTAGTGCCGTGTTTAACCCTCTGAACTGAAGCAGTATCTGGGCATTTGGTGCTCCTGGAATTTTTCCTCACAGTGGATCATGGTTTCACTACAATATAAAGTCTTGCACCTCAAAACAGCACAACCACGGCTAGAAGTAGAGATAACTCAGAAATGTCTTGTGTGCAATATGGCACCATTATCAGCTCAGATGTATCATTTAAAAAAGAGTTGATTTCTTTCTTTCTTTCTATTCTTCTTTCTTTCTTTTTTTTAAAAACAATTAAAAAAAAAAAAAAAAAGCTAGAATCGGATGTTACAATAGTAAACACAATTTATTTTAAGAGACACAAGAGCTGCTGTAGATAGGCTACTTAATTTGGTCTATTTACAGTTTTTAACCTCTACAACTTTTTATCCACAATGCTGCACATCAACTCCAGAAGATGTTTCACCATGCTGAATTTGTCGACAACCTCTTCCTCACTCTAACATTTTTGAGCTGCATTTACTGTATTGATCAAGTTTTATTTCCTCTCAGTCTCTCTTGTCGTCTCCTCTCTGCTCTCTGTCAACACAACCTGCAGTTCACCCGAAAAGTCACAGAATATTTGTCATGCGACTGTTAGTTGTTGCAGAATTTTTGTTTTTACAGGATCTGGTGCAAAAGTGTTTTGGTGGGAATTTTTTTTTTTTTTAACGAGTCACATAGAATAAAGGTATTTTGTGTAATATCAGAATTTGAAGCGTAGATTCAGTTAATTTTCTTGTCATGCCTGAAAGCTTCAAGTCAAAAATCTGATTCTTTCTGTTTTTACAGTTTCTAACCCTTATAAATAGTGTAATTCTGGCAATTTTCAAAGGAAACCATGTCTTTCAACCCCATCAGACAGGTTTTGGGGTTAAAAGTTTAAGAGAGAAGTGAAACATGTCACTGGGCTCAAACTGCAACCTTCAACTTACAGGCCAGTCTGTCTGATGTCTAATCCTCGCTGCTTCAAGTATTTCAACAAACTTTTTTCTCCAGATGGAGATCTCCTGCCATTCCAGTGGTGCTGTATCGACTCTCCTCTGTGCCACCTTTACCTCCAAAAGAGGCCCGTGGACCGTTGCCATGGTTACAGCTGGGCCATCCCTGACGACTCCCCATCGTGCCAGAAGGCGACACAGGGTGTAGGTGAGCGTCTCCTCCGACTAAACCCCATCTAAAACCAACACAAGAAGACTACATTCTTCACAGTCATTAGTGGATTTTTCAAAAGTAATATGTCTAGTCAGCCCATATATGTCCGGTCATGTTGTGTCTGTGGTCTGTCTGTACAGTTTGATGAGACAAACTTGTCTTTCCAATGTTCCCTTTGCAGCAATGGTGTACGGCAGCCTTCATTTCATCACCTTCGACGGGACGGAGTACTCCTTCAAGGCCCTGGGAGAGTTTGTGATACTGCGTCTCTCATCCGCCACTGGCTCTAATATCTTCACCCTGCAAGGACAGACTGACAAGATACACAGAGACGCTGGGGGGATCATTGAATCCCCAGTGGTGGTGCGCATGGCTGCCTTCCACCAGGGCATTGGCAAGGTCAGGATGAAAAAGAGACAGTTCATGTGTACTAAAGGAAAAGTTGCAATTTGGGAAGTGTGCTTATTCACTTCTGAGAATGAAATTAGAAAATGGATTCCGTCGTGATGTTTGTTTGTTTGTCACTGTAAGTATGAAGCTGGAGCCGGGGCTAATTAAGTTAAAGAAAACAACAAGGAAACAGCCTGATGCTACCCAAAGTTTAAAAAAAAACAAAATAAAAATCCACAAAAACCTCTACATCTCATTGATAACTTGTCATTTCTTGTTTAATAATTACACACAAGATGCATTAGCTGGATGCATAAATAGTTAATTTTTAGAAAGTGGTTATATCATGCAAAAAAAACATGCTAACTAGTGACCTCATCTCAACCTTGTTCTAATATTCATGAACTGCTTTCAGATTGAATGGAGGTGTGCAAAGAACAGCAGTGGACTGCAGGTGCTTGTAGATGATGTTGAGGTTCCAATCACAGTTGGTAATGACCACCACACACATCTGACACTTCAAACATTGTTGTTTTGTATGAGACACAGCTGCCATTGTGCGCAATTAGCAATCTTGTACCTAAAGCTACATGCCCATTTATTTAACGATCAACTCGACAAATACCATCTGCTTATGACGAACGCTGTCCTTTCAGGTGTTGTGCACATGGGCGAGAAGGACTTTGCGGTGCGCTGTCTCTCAGTGAACCGCTGTGCCGCTGTGTACGCTGGCGGTCTCCACGTGGTGGTGTGGAGAAGTGTGAACTACAATCAGCTGTCGGCCACGGTGGAGGTTCCTCAGACCTTCTACAACCGCACTCTGGGTCTCATGGGTCTCTGGAGCGCCAACCGCTCTGATGACTTCCTCATGTCTGACGGCAAAGTCCTTCTCTCAGAGGACCTCAACCCCCCGTCTGAGGAGAGGCTGCAAGAGTTTGGCTGGTCCTGTGAGTCGTCCATAGATGCATACACTTTAGGAAAAGCTTTGACAGATAATACACAAATTTTAAGCTAATCAAAACTGTGCAATATAGGAAATTGACATATGAAATGAATATGGGACTGATGCTATCTGTGGATTACAGAGACCACAGTCAATGTTCTTGTTCATTTCTGGCTGGTCCTGTGCTCCCGATGAGCTTTGAAAGCCGCTACAATCCACATTTTTGTATTAACAATAGATCATGTGAGCAGGGTGGTTCGTAGCGACAAAACTATAGAAAAATTAGCGCCCAAATCTGCCCTTTCCCTTAACTCTACATAGAGTTCAGCTTGTTGTTTTGGTTTTTTGGCCCACTGTTGAACTGTTTTTACTGTTTTCATTCCCATTAAGCTAATTTGCACAATCATCAGGCAACTGTCTTCACCAAAAAGCTTCAATAAACCTCACTGCTCATTACCAGCCCAGCACTCGTAAACAATGTTAGCAACAGGCTGGTGGTAGTGGAGCAACTCAGCAACCAGATCACCAGATTTTCTGGAGGAGTTGGTGGAGAGCAAACGGAGCTACAACTAGAGTTATTATTTGCCATTCCTCAGGTCATCTGAAACACAGCGAACATGTTTACCAACCTAAAAATGAACAATATGTCAATGTACTGTTTGTTGCGCTGCCGCCAAGTGGCAAAAAACTATGAATGCACTTTTAAATATATGCATCAGTGAGCCTATTCACAGGCAATGAGTCTGTGATGGAATGTACAATTATGCACAGGGGTTCATGTTGTCGTGAACAGAAGAATGTTCAACCCTTAATCCATGCTGTCCAGACGACCAAGTCACAGCATCCACAGACCACCGTGCCCGCTGTGACCTCGTTCGACTGAGCGTTGTAACACAGTCCATTATGACCAACATGATCCACGCAGTTAATGGGTGTTACGTCTTTATCCACGTCTGTCCTGATTTCTTTGCTTCTGTGTGTTTCTAGGGGCAGTCCCACTCCCAGAGAGCTTGTTGTTCTCTTCACCTCCACAGTCACCGCTGCAGTACGTTTCCACTGAGGACCTGCTGCAGACCATCAGTCCTGCTGAGGTGGAAGACCTGAAGAGAACCTGTGAGAGCAGCTGGCAGTGTGTCGTGGACACGCTGGCAAGCGGCTTCGCTGACCTGGGACAGATGACACTGGACGCCCAAAAGCTATTCAAAAGACTAGCTTTGATCTTTGGTATGCTTGTCTACACAAATCTGGAAAGGTTTTTGTGCTTTCATCATTGACCTGCACTGATTTGATGTGGTCTGTTTGTGGTCGGGCAGGTAACACTCCTCCCATAGTGACAGAGCCCACAGTGATCCACGCTAAGGTCAACTCTCAGGTCAACATTCAGATTGTCGCTCAGGACCCCAATGGAGACGCCACCACCTACTCACTGCTCTTACCCAGGCCTCCACAGGCTTCTCTTGGCAGTGGTGAGACACAAGCACACATAAAATCATGTAAATCTCCCTACCAAGCAGAGCCTCCCTCCCTCCATCCTTTGCTGTTACGGATGACGTTACTGTTGACATTTGTTGTTCGGAGGATGGAGACGCTACTGCTGTGCAGTCTTTCAGCAGATGGGACATTTCAGAGCTGAGTCAGTAGATGGGTCACGCAGTCAGAGACACGCACAGGCTCACCAAATGCACAAAAGACTGTCTTGAAAAATCTGAAGTACTGTTTGAAGAGTGCCATTTTTTATTTTCATTAAAGCCCATGAACACAGGGAATGTTCTCTTAGATGTCCATTATGATGCACTGGTCTGTGTATGAACCTGTATGAATGAGTCCTGTTGTGTTGTGGTTTACAGACTTTCCTCTCTCCTCTCCAGGTGACGGCTACCTGACATGGACGCCTGTCAACACCCAGCCTGTCCAACTGACCATCCAGGTCAGTGACAAACTTACCAGCTCTCTGTTCACCCCCATCCTGCGTGTCTGCGACTGCTTAAACGGAGGAACATGCCAGTATGACAGCATCGCTGAAAGCCACCTGCTGGGAAAGTTCCAGGTACTTTGTTTTTTGGACTTGAGATGTCTGTTTTTATGACATTCAGAACTTCCATTGAAAAATTTGTCACTTTGTGCTGATGTTGACCCTGAACAGGGAAAAGCAGATATAGTGCAGACAAAAGTGTGTTAGAAGAATTTTCTGGAACTTTTGAAGTAGCAACGAAAACCTTTCAATTCTGAACATTTAGTCAGTGAATTTCAAAAGAAAGAATTTTGCATATTAGTTGTAGTAAACGTGTAAAAAAAAAAAAAAAAAAGAAATCAAGAAACAACAGCTTATCTCGTCATTGCTGTGCACACTCACACTGTTTCATTTATTCCTCATGTTTTATTGATTTCTGCAACTTTTTACATGTGCAGTTTATGAAACTAGAGCCTTACTCATGCTGAATTTTCAGGACCGATATGGATATATTAGCTGATATATTTCATATTTACACATCTATGTATATATACACATGCAGGATGTTGTGCTGAAATGGGAAAACAATGGGATTATTGTTTGTTACTTTGAAAGCAATGCATTTCACAGACTACTAAGCCATTTGACTCCACATGACTGTCTGCTCTGCTGTGATACGTTCTCTGCTACATGTGCTGCTAGTGGTAGGAGTGTTGTAAACAAAGGAGCTGAAGCCACGCTGCTGGACAAGCTATGTAATAGCACCATTTCTAAATGATCTTAAGTATCTTTTTATTTATTTTATATTTATGCATATTAGACAACATGAACACTCAGTCTGAAGTTTCTTTGATAGTCTAATTTCAACTTCAGATAAAATCCCTCCTTACAGTGGAAACAGTTTTAAGGTCTTTACATCTTCTAAATACAAAATTTGATCCTGTTTTGAAAATGCATGCTGTTGGTGCATTCAAGCGTTTGTAAGAAAATAAGAAAACATTGTCTGATCTTGAAATGTGTACTGGGTCAGCTGTTGTAATGCGTTTTGAATGTGGAATCTCTTTTTACGATGGCTATGTCTTAATCTGTGTCCTCCCTTGTCTTTTACCTCTCAGGTGGTGGGATGTTTGTGCCCAAAAGGGTTCAGCGGGACGTATTGTGGCAACACTACAGACATATGTCGAGGCAAACCCTGTTTCAGAGGGGTACAGTGCCGGTCAGAGCCAGAGCCCGACCAGTTCACCTGCGGAGAGTGTCCTGATACTTTTGTCTCTAATGGAAAAGAGGGATACAAGTGCTTTAAGCATGGTCAGTAACACATGGAGATTTGTTACAGTCACATGATCAACTTTCGACTCCAAACACTATCTCAAGCCTCTGTTCTTGTCTTCTCAGACATGTGCATCCCGCCGTTTCCCTTCCCCTGCCACAAAGATGCAGAATGCAGCAGCACGAAACAAAACTACACCTGCACATGTAGGCCAGGTTTTACTGGAGATGGACGCAACTGCACAGGTACTGAACGCCCAACAGGTCAATATGAATCAGGACACTGTCACTTACTACCATTGACCTGCACAATCTTTGTCTGCGTTGTAGATATAGATGAGTGTGCGGCGCTCATGGCCTGTGAGAACGCCAAGTATGAGTGTAAGAACACGCCCGGCTCTTTTCAATGCATCTGTAGATATCAAAACCCAGAGGACACCAAAGGATGTGGTAAGTACACACTTACACATCCAATACAGTTTGGTTGCACTGAGAGTAAACGTCCAAATGACCATGAATGTCATCCAGTGAGGTTAATGATCGCAAATATTCCCACAACTTGTAAATATTCATGTCATTAGACAGCTAAAGGCAGTTGTATGACTGTAAAGCTGCTCAGTTTATAATTATCTTCAAAGGACCAAGGCTGACATGAGGGACAACCGAACGCTAAAGTGAAGGGTTTGAACACACTGCCTC